TTCTACTCGAAATGGAAGTAATCCCAACAATTATGAAACAAGAGATTCTTCGAAACCCAACTTTTCTTCAACTACATCAAGCCTTGATTTGTCGGAACAATATGCATTAGCCACATTTCTCACTTAAGCGATCAACTAGACACCTGAGAAGACAGGCAACATCTGAGTCTGCCTAACGGGTGATCCAACTTTACTTGATTTCACACTTATTTGAGCGTTGAATGAATGCTTGCAAATGACTTGCGCCACTCGCCTCTAAAGCCAAACTAAAAGCATCGCCTCCTAAGTAACGGCCCCTTGGCATTTATCCTCAGTATAAGTAGTATGCAAAAACTAAGCCTCAGTTTACATGCTTTAGGAATTCATAATAGTGATGAAACTCTTGACGTTAATTTCAGGCAGGACAGCGAAGGTTTTCTGTGTAGAGGAGCCTTCTGAGCCTTGACTCCGTTACCTCACTCCCAAGGCATTTTTCCCGTCGCCATTCTGACAACCTACGGTCACACCTCGATCGATCATATTTTTACCCACTAGCTTTGCTAAATGGGTCACTATACTATCTAAGCTCTGCACCAGACGTGTGCTGTGTGCCCTGTGTCCATGGTGAGGTGAGACAGAGACACAGATATGCGAGAGATAGGCTCTTAGAGAGTCCGTGTCTGAAGTGACATTAACAGCCGCGCTCGATTGGATGCTAGCACTGACCGATTTTCTCGTACCCACTTCTGTCCAATACCATCGCTATTCCGACACTCCAAAACACAACACAACAAAACACGTACGTCTCCCTGTGCGCGATCATATGACTGCAAACTACGTGCCCGACTGATACGCAATGTGCAGACTGGGTCTTTCGGAAAAGTCTGATTGTGGCATCACAAAGATCGACGCGCGAATCAAGTACGCTCAGCTCTACAGCTAAAGGACTTCTTTTCACTCCTCTTCACGATAATCTAACAGTTCGTCTATCGAGAGCCCTTCGGACATGACCGACATCTCCCATGCCAAAGTTGTTTTTGTTTTGGGTAAGTGCCTAACATCACCTATCGGTGCCCATTTTTACTGCATTTTCACACTTTTTCGTATTTATTGAGGGACTTGGAAGACATACTTAATGCTGCGTCGTCTGCCTGTCTTTACGTTCTTTCAGCAGGGTGATGCTTATTTCGTTGACTAAATTTTAACCCGACAATCATGGCTGTACTCTTTAACTCGGACCTATCTTCTGGCTTACCCTCTAACTCTAGGTTGTTTACAATCCTTGTCATATGAGACAAACGAAATGTGAAGCCTCCTTTTCTCCGACAGCCCAATTGTGGACCGATTTAGTGAGCTTACGTGGCCTCTATTCAATTCACAGTTTGTCTCGCCTATTCGCTAGCAAGTTCTTTTGACCAAAGCTAGTCCCTACACTCAGTGCTAATAGTCTTTTTCTCGGGTGAATCTCTCTAATAATGGTCAAGCCACGAAAACAACGCCAGACTGCGTTTTAAAGATGCCTAATTTACATAATTGGAAAGACTTTCATTTGGAATGAAAGTGCATGATGAAGATATTCGTAGTTTGATCTCATGGGAGGACGACGGCTGACTTCCACGGCTCTACTGCCGTATGAATTTAATACGAAGTTCAGGTTGGCGAAGTACGTTCAACATTTTCTCCCGTTTCGTGTGTAACCTGGCTGGGCTTTCGGTTCTCATATGACGAACATCATCAGAGCTAGAATTTATTATTACAAGTCTTAATTTAACACCAAGTCAAGAAGAGTGATCGGCTTTATCCTACGTGCTATGTTTACTCTGCTTAACAATGAGTATATATAGGTGTGGATAGATAGACAGATATATGATGATTTGATACGTTCCATTTCATATTAATCATGGCATTTTTATTTAAGTGGGTCTGTTTTTCTTTGTGTATGTGTGTGTGTGTTAACGTCTGTGCGTATTACCTGCCATAAATCAGAGCCTGACATCAGGCCCGCCTCGTCAAATCATTTTATATTCATCTATATATATTTATCTATTTTCGTTTTTCAGTAATGAGCACAGATGACGTGTAGGATGGGGCCAGACAGTCTTAGTGACTTAGTGTTAACCTGGAGGTTTTTGCAGAAATGATTTCCAGCTCTGGTGATATCCTTCATATGATAGACGTAAACTCAACCCGGTTTAGCCCGAAACGAGGGGAGATGTCTCGTTCACTGTGTCAGCCTAAACCTCGTACTAAATTTTTGTGCTTAAGAAGATATTCGAAGGTCAATCCCACCAGAAGGCGACGGCAGATTCCCCTTAGCCAATTGTTCATTGGCTTTATTGAAACCTTGTTGACGCTATTTTTGATGCGATCTTCTTCGATTCCAGTGAAGACATGCTAAGCGTTCATTCGTCATGTAACGGACATCATCAGAGCAGGTCATCATTCTTACAATCATACTCAAGTAGCATTCCCGACAGCAGCAGTAAAACTTGCACGTTTCAACCGGCCAAACTCGAATACCATAAAACTGGACTAGATAGAGAATTTATTTGACCTCGATACGATTGAGCTTATTGTGGTCAGCCTCAAAGCATTCTGTTGAATGAGTATGCTTCTAAACTAATTATAGTTCTTGAATAATTACTGAGTCATCCTAGGTCGCTTAGGAGGATGTAAGGATTTATCTAAATGAAATTAATTGACTTAATGATGCCATTGAATTTCCTTTGGACTTGCCGCCAACAGTCTATCTCATTTCGGGTGGACTGCAAGTTGTACCTCACCTGGGTTTATTTAGCATCTACAGCTAGGCTTGAAACTGGTTCGTGTGCGTCAAGTGACAACGCGTTACCATTCCGCCACAGCGGGTCTCCAGGCAATTGTGAAGCTCAAGGAATACCAGACCCCCCAAATCATATTTATAGTGTAGTCCATGGATATTCAACTGACCAATACCAGGATTAATTTTGGAAGAATGATGTTCAATATGTGTACTTTACAAGTTTCACACTTTATTTAATTAACTAGTTTTTCCGTACCTGATATAAAAAACGCATGTTAGTTCTGAGACTAGGTTTGCGGTTACGTCAACCTTTGCCCCTCGAGCTATCTTTACCTAGATGCTACATGTTCTTGCTTATACGTAGACATTCTTATAGCGACTTGTACTTTGAACATGGCCTCAAATCTCTTTTTGCCCTAAGGTTTATACTCTGATGCATCAGCGGGAAATCACTGAGGTCGAATTTCCAGTTTTGCCTTGCACCCAATTAGATGTGTCCGACTTTCATTCAAGACTCATTATCATCATCATTTTTTTCTTTAAGGTGGACCTGGAAGTGGTAAAGGCACTCAATGTGAAAAGCTTGTGCAAAAGTACGGCTTTAATCACATTTCATCCGGGGATCTACTCCGAGATGAAGTCGCGTCCGGATCAGAAAGAGGACAGAAGTTAAAGGAAATGCTTGAAAAAGGAGTACTGGTGAGCTTGGTAAGTAAAACTTTACATCCTTAGCGCTTTTTACCATACAAAGGAAATTTTTTTCTGTATGCCAGACCTCATCCTTCATCGGCTTGTTTTACTTTTTGTCATTATACCAGTAGCATCAGGCGGATCCTGGTGTCTGATATTTCTTGTGAACCTACAAATAGAGGAATGAGTCTTTAGCTAACTGTGCATCAGATACTCTTCAGTTTTTTTTTATACCACTCAGCCAAAGTATAGTCCTATTTTGCTATTATAAGAAAGGGATACCAAGTACTCATGAGTTTTGATAAGCATGAGATACCCATTTCTGAATTTGAGCATATGAATTGCCCCTTCATTGTCACTCATGAAGTTCTTCAAATTATTATTTCTTATGAGTAAACCACTTTTCGTTAAACTACCTTCGATAACTTTTATCTTTGATGAGGGAAAAACAATTACTACTTTCGTATGCTACTAGTTTTCCAGCTAACTAATTACTCCCTCTGCGTCGTTTAAAGGATAGTTATAAATAAATGCGTTTAAATCAGCATCATAACTATTTGTTCAATGTTAGTGTTGGGGAGACCCGTATGAGATTGAGCTTGGATGAGTGTCCTTTGTGGAATAGTACACTTGAAGCCAATTAACTAATTGGAGCCTAGTATGCAACTGATAGGAGATCTCGATAGCTGATTTATTTGGTGTCACAACAACAAGTGGATACGATTTATTATTTCGACTTTGTGAGGTGAACATTCAGTAGTCATATGTATATATATATACACATCAATATATATATATATATATATATATATGTATATAAGCCCTCTTGGTCTCAGTGGTGAATTCTCGAATTCCCTATCCAACTTGTCCATGTACACATTTGCCAAAAGAGGTGACAGTGAAGATACCATCGCTAGTCCAAATATTTGCTCGTAGATACTGCCGTTAAATGTAAAATGTGGTCCTTACTGTCAGGTTGATCAGTCGTGTTAAAGATTATTTCCGTATCCGTTCCGCCTCCAGAATGCCCTCTTCTCGTTCCAATATCTTCAGTAAGGCGCTTACCGCCTTCTCGCCTGAGATGTTTGTATACATGGAC